TGGGGGGGGGGGGGTGTGGGGGGCTTGTGGTAACATGTGTGTTTTAAACCCAGCTGCTACCCACATTCGCGGGTGATACCACCCACTGCTTGGGCTTCGTGGGACTATCATTTGTTTTTCAACAGGACACCTCCAGCTGTGTAAGGGCTATTTTACCAAGAAGGAGAGTGATGGAGTGCCTGCATCAGATGACCTGGCCTCCACAATCCCCCGACCTCAACCAAATTGAGATGGTTTGGGATGAGTTGGACTGCAGAGTGAAGGAAAAGCAGCCAACAAGTGCTCACCATATGTGGGAACTCCTTTAAGACTGTTGGAAAAGCATTACAGGTGAAGCTGGTTGAGAGAATGCCAAAGCTGTCATCAAGGCAAAGGGTGGCTATTTGAGGAATCTTGAATATAAAATATATTTGGATTTGTTTAACACTTTTTTGGTTACTACATGATTCCATATGTGTTATTTCATAGTTTTGATGTCTTCACTATTATTCTACAATGTAGAAAATAGTACAAATAAAGAAAAACCCTTGAATGAGTAGGTGTTCTAAAGCCTTTGACGGTAGTGTATGTATACAGTACATTCAGAAAGAGGAATAGAGAGAGAGCGAGAGAGAGACAGAGAGACAGAGAGAGAGAGAGAGAGAGAGAGAGAGAGAGAGAGAGAGAGAGAGAGAGAGAGACAGAGAGAGATAGAGAGAGAGAGAGAGAGAGAGAGAGAGAGAGAGATACAGAGAGACAGAGAGAGAGAGAGACAGAGAGAGAGAGAGAGAGAGAGAGAGAGAGAGAGAGAGGGGAAGAAAGAGAAACAACGCAAATAAATGAAAGAGAAATGGGACTTTGATTGCCATTATTTTATTGTTTACTAGGAGACATAGCAACAACATTATAGTGTATATATACTGAACATTCATAGAGAAGAGAGAGAGGCGGACAAGGGAAACAAAACAACACAACCACAATCCAACTTGGATTATCTCATTGTTTAGCGGCCTTCGTCTTGATGAGCAGTTTATTTACTGTGTGTTATGTACTGTGGAACAAAACCTTTTTCGTATTGGACAAGCAGTCACATCACTTCATCAGATGAATTCAGCATGGTTTTATACTGCAGAAAGAACTGTGGTGGCTCTCAACTGAGCACTGGAACAGCCCTGTAGAGGAGAGACAATGACATGTCTGTAGTTAGACGTGAGAGAGAGAGAGAGAGAGAGAGAGAGAGAGAGGGAGGGAGAGAGAGAGAGAGAGAGAGAGAGAGAGAGAGAGAGAGAAGAGAAAGAGAAGAGAAGAGAAGAGAAGAGAAGAGAAGAGAAGAGAAGAGAAGAGAAGAGAGAGAAAGAAAGAGAAGAGAAGAGAAGAGAAGAGAAGAGAAGAGAAGAGAAGAGAAGAGAAGAGAAGAGAAGGAGAAAGAGAAAGATAGTAAGAGAGGTTTAAGAAAAGGGAAGCCATGAGGGACTGGGAGACGGGGGTGAGACCCGATGGGTTAAATCCTAAGGGTTTTGATCTCCCTCTCTTCTCCTCTCTTTTCCCTCTCTTTTCTTCCTGACTCAGCTCAAGTCTCACAACCTCGTTCCCCCTCTCTCTCTCCCTCCGTTGTTCAATTATTTTTCTCACTTTTCCCTCAATCCATTTCCATCTTTCTTTATGTTAATGCACTCCCTCTACATCTCCAACTGAAATTGTAGATCATAGTAGAAGAATTTAGCTTGTAGGCTCTCTCATATCACCACAAAAACTCAAATGAGTGAAATGCTCCTCTTTGGCCTCCACAGTTTATTTGTTAATTCTCAGTTTGTGTATAATGACGCTGGATGTATGTACTGTAACAACAACACAGCTGTGTATGTAACATTAACACATGATGTTTGTAACCATATTTATGCACTCTTCTCTATCTCTCTCCATCTCTCTCCCCCTCCCCATTTCCCCCTCTGTCCTTCTCCTACCCCAGTGTGGACAGCGCGTTTCTCCCAGGAGCCAGCGGACCAGTCGGTAGTGCGGGGCCAGAGGGTGATTCTGTCCTGTGTTGTGTTTAACTACTCAGGCATTGTGCAGTGGACCAAGGATGGACTGGCCCTGGGCATCGGAGAGGACCTCAGGGGTGAGACTAGTACAACTCTAACACCACCCAACACAAAACAACACCCAAAGCCCAACACCCAACACCCAGTCTAGTTGCCCTCCTTAAAAAGCCTCTCTGTATTTTGCCCTGTTTTTCTTTTATTTTCTCTGTATTTTCTCTGTGTCTGTCTCTCTGTGCCTGTCTCTCTGTGTCTGTCTCTTTGTGTCTGTCTCTCTGTGTCTGTCTCTCTGTGCCTGTCTCTCTGTGTCTGTCTCTTTGTGTCTATCTCTCTGTGTCTGTCTCTCTGTGTCTGTCTCTCTGTGTCTATCTCTCTGTGTCTGTCTCTCTGTGTCTGTTTCTCTGTGTCTGTCTCTCTGTGTCTGTCTCTCTGTGTCTATCTCTCTGTGCCTGTCTCTCTGTGTCTGTCTCTCTGTGTCTGTCTCTTTGTGCCTGTCTCTCTGTGTCTGTCTCTTTGTGTCTGTCTCTCTGTGTCTGTCTCTCTGTGCCTGTCTCTTTGTGCCTGTCTCTCTGTGTCTGTCTCTTTGTGTCTGTCTCTCTGTGTCTGTCTCTCTGTGTCTGTCTCTCTGTGCCTGTCTCTCTGTGTCTGTCTCTTTGTGTCTGTCTCTCTGTGTCTGTCTCTCTGTGCCTGTCTCTCTGTGTCTGTCTCTTTGTGTCTGTCTCTCTGTGTCTGTCTCTCTGTGTCTGTCTCTCTGTGTCTATCTCTCTGTGTCTGTCTCTCTGTGTCTGTTTCTCTGTGTCTGTCTCTCTGTGTCTGTCTCTCTGTGTCTATCTCTCAGTGCCTGTCTCTCTGTGTCTGTCTCTCTGTGTCTGTCTCTTTGTGCCTGTCTCTCTGTGTCAGTCTCTCTTTGCCTGTCTCTCTGTGTCTGTCTCTCTGTGTCTGTCTATCTGTGTCTGTCTCTCTGTGCCTGTCTCTCTGTGCCTGTCTCTCTGTGCCTGTCTCTCTGTGTCTGTCTCTCTGTGTCTATCTCTCTGTGCCTGTCTCTCTGTGTCTGTCTCTTTGTGCCTGTCTCTCTGTCTGTCTCTCTGTGTCTATCTCTCTGTGCCTGTCTCTCTGTGTCTGTCTCTTTGTGCCTGTCTCTCTGTGTCTGTCTCTCTTTGCCTGTCTCTCTGTGTCTGTCTCTCTGTGTCTGTCTCTCTGTGCCTGTCTCTCTGTGCCTGTCTCTCTGTGTCTGTCTCTTTGTGCCTGTCTCTCTGCATCTGTCTCTCTGTGTCTGTCTCTGTCTGTCTCTCTGTGCCTGTCTCTCTGTGTCTGTCTCTCTGTGTCTGTCTCTCTGTGCTTGTTTCTCTGTGTCTGTCTCTCTGTGTCTGTCTCTTTGTGCCTGTCTCTCTGTGCCTGTCTCTCTGTGTCTGTCTCTCTGTGCCTGTCTCTCTGTGTCTGTCTCTTTGTGCCTGTCTCTCTGTGTCTGTCTCTCTTTGCCTGTCTCTCTGTGTCTGTCTCTCTGTGTCTGTCTCTCTGTGTCTGTCTCTCTGTGTCTGTCTCTCTGTGTCTGTCTCTCTGTGCCTGTCTCTCTGTGTCTGTCTCTTTGTGCCTGTCTCTCTGTGTCTGTCTCTCTTTGCCTGTCTCTCTGTGTCTGTCTCTCTGTGTCTGTCTCTCTGTGCCTGTCTCTCTGTGCCTGTCTCTCTGTGTCTGTCTCTCTGTGTCTATCTCTCTGTGCATGTCTCTCTGTGTCTGTCTCTCTGTGCCTGTCTCTCTGTGTCTGTCTCTCTGTGCCTGTCTCTCTGTGCCTGTCTCTCTGTGCCTGTCTCTCTGTGTCTTTTTCTCTGTGTCTATCTCGCTGTGCCTGTCTCTCTGTGTCTGTCTCTCTGTGCCTGTCTCTCTGTGTCTGTCTCTTTGTGCCTGTCTCTCTGCGTCTGTCTCTCTGTGTCTGTCACTGTCTGTCTCTCTGTACCTGTCTCTCTGTGTCTGTCTCTCTGTGTATGTCTCTCTGTGCCTGCTTCTCTGTGTCTGTCTCTCTGTGCCTGTCCTTCTGTGTCTGTCTCTTTGTGCCTGTCTCTCTGTGCCTGTCTCTCTTTGCCTGTCTCTCTGTGTCTGTCTCTCTGTGTCTGTCTCTCTGTGCCTGTCTCTCTGTGTCTGTCTCTCTGTGTCTCTCTCTGTGTCTCTCTCTGTGTCTGTCTCTCTTTGCCTGTCTCTCTGTGTCTGTCTCTCTGTGTCTGTCTCTCTGTGCCTGTCTCTCTGTGCCTGTCTCTCTGTGTCTGTATCTCTGTGTATATCTCTCTGTGCATGTCTCTCTGTGTCTGTCTCTCTGTGCCTGTCTCTCTGTGTCTGTCTCTCTGTGTCTGTCTATCTGTGTCTGTCTCTCTGTGCCTGTCTCTCTGTGCATGTCTCTCTGTGTCTGTCTCTCTGTGCCTGTCTCTCTGTGTCTGTCTCTCTGTGTCTGTCTCTCTGTGCCTGTCTCTCTGTGTCTGTCTCTCTGTTTCTATCTCTCTGTGCCTGTCTCTCTGTGTCTGTCTCTCTGTGCCTGTCTCTCTGTGTCTGTCTCTTTGTGCCTGTCTCTCTGCGTCTGTCTGTCTGTGTCTGTCTCTGTCTGTCTCTCTGTGCCTGTCTCTCTGTGTCTGTCTCTCTGTGTCTGTCTCTTTGTGCCTGTCTCTCTGCTCCTGTTTCTCTGTGTCTGTCTCTCTGTGCCTGTCTCTCTGTGTCTGTCTCTTTGTGCCTGTCTCTCTGTGCCTGTCTCTCTTTGCCTGTCTCTCTGTGTCTGTCTCTCTGTGTCTGTCTCTCTGTGCCTGTCTCTCTGTGTCTGTCTCTCTGTGTCTCTCTCTGTGTCTCTCTCTGTGCCTGTCTCTCTGTGTCTGTCTCTTTGTGCCTGTCTCTCTGTCTGTCTCTCTTTGCCTGTCTCTCTGTGTCTGTCTCTCTGTGTCTGTCTCTCTGTACCTGTCTCTCTGTGTCTGTCTCTCTGTGTCTCTCTCTGTGTCTCTCTCTGTGCCTGTCTCTCTGTGTCTGTCTCTCTGTGCCTGTCTCTCTGTGTCTGTCTCTCTGTGTCTGTCTCTCTGTGCCTGTCTCTCTGTGTCTGTCTCTTTCTGTCTCTCTCTCTGTCTTTCAATCTCAGGCTCTCAATACAATTCAAAGGGCTTTATTGGCATAGGAAACATTTACGTTTACGTTGCCAAAGCAAGTGAAATAGATAATAAACAAAAGTGAAATAAACAATCAGAAATTAACAGTAAACATTACACTAAAGTTTCAAAGGACATTTCAAATGTCATATTATGGCTATGTACAGTGTTGTAACGATGTTCAAATAGTTAAAGTACAAAAGGGAAAATAAATCAATATAAATATGGGTTGTATTTACAATGGTGTTTCTTGTGGCAACATGTCACAAATCTTGCTGCTGTAATGGCACACTGGTATTTCACCTAATAATTTAGATATGGGAGTTTATCAAAATTGGATTTGTTTTCTAATTCTTTGTGGGTCTGTGTAATCTGAGGGAAATATGTGTCTCTAATATGGTCATACATTTGGCAGGAGGTTATGAAGTGCAGCTCAGTTTCAACCTCATTTTGTGGGCAGTGTGCACATAGCCTGTCTTCTCCTGAGAGCCAGGTCTGCCTACGGTGGCCTCTCTCGATAGCAAGGCTATGCTCACTGAGACTTTACATAGTCAAAGATTTCCTTAAGTTTGGGTCAGTCACAGTGGTCAGGTATTCTGCCACTGTGTACTCTCTGTTTAGGGCCAAATAGCATTCCAGTTTGCTCGGTTTTTTGGTTAATTCTTTCCAATGTGTCAAGTAATTCTCTTTTTGTTTTCTCATGATTCGGTTGGGTCTAATCGTGTTGCTGTCCTGGGGCTCTGTGGGGTCTGTTTGTGTTTGTGTACAGAGCCCTAGGACCAGCTTGCTTAGGGGACTCTTATCTAGCTTAATCTTTCTGTAGGTGATGGCTTTGTTATGGACGGTTTGGGAATCTCTTCCTTTTAGGTGGTTGTAGAATTTAATGGCTCTTTTCTGGATTTTGATAATTAGCGGGTATCGTCATAATTCTGCTCTGCATGCATTCTTTGATATTTTACGTTGTACACAGAGGATGTTTTTGCAGAATTCTGCATGCAGAGTCTCAATTTGGTGTTTGTCCCATTTTGTGAATTCTTGGTTGGTGTGTGGACCCCAGACCTCACAACCATAAAGGGCAACTGATTCAAGTATTTTTTGCCAGATCCTAATTGGGATGTCGATCATTTTATGTTCCTTTTGATGGCAAAGAAGGCTCTTCTTGCCTTGTCTCTCAGATCGTTCACAGCTTTGTGGAAGTTACCTGTAGTGCTGATGTTTAGGCTGACGTATGTATAGTTTTTTGTGTGCTCTAGGGCAACGGTGTCTAGAAGGAATTTGTATTTGTGGTCCTGGCTTTTTCTCTCTCTCTCTCTATCTAACTATCCATCTCTCTATACCTACATTACCGGTCAAAAGTTTTGGAACACCTACTCATTCAAGGGTTTTTGTTTATGTTTACTATTTTCTGATGAAAGCTTTGCACACTCTTGGCATTCTCTCAACCAGCTTCATGGGGTAGTCACCTGGAATGCATTTCAATTAACAGGTGTGCCTTCTTAAAAGTTAATTTGTGGAATTTCTTTCCTTCTTAATGCGTTTGAGCCAATCAGTTGTGTTGTGACAAGTAAGGGGGGTATGCAGAAGATAGCCCTATTTGGTAAAAGACCAAGTCCATATTATGGCAAGAACAGCTCAAATATGCAAAGGGAAACAACAGTCCATCATTACTTTAAGACATGAAGGTCAGTCAATCCGGAAAATTTCAAGAACTTTGAACGTTTCTTCAAGTGCAGTCGCAAAAACCATCAAGCGCTATGAAGAAACTGGCTCTCATGAGGACCGCCACAGGAATGGAAGACCCAGAGTTACCACTGCTGCAGAGGATAAGTTCATTAGAGTTACCAGCCTCAGAAATTGCAGCCCAAATGCTTCACAGAGTTCAAGTAACAGACACATTTCAACATCAACTGTTCAGAGGAGACTCTGTGAATCAGGCCTTCATGGTCGAATTGCTGCAGAGAAACCACTACTAAAGGACACCAATAATAAGAAGAGACTTGCTTGGGCCAAGAAACACGAGCAATGGACATTAGACAGGTGGACATTTGTCCTTTGGTCTGGAGTCCAAATTTGAGATTTTTGGTTCTGACCGCTGTGTCTTTGTGATGACCTCCGCATGTGTATTTCCCACCGTAAAGCATGGAGGAGGAGGTGTTATGGTGTGGGGGTGCTTTGCTGGTGACACTGTCTGTGATTTATTTAGAATTCAAGGCACACTTAACCAGCATGGCTACCACAGCATTCTGCAGCGATACGAAGTCCCATCTGGTTTGGGCTTAATAGGACTATCATTTGTTTTTCAACAGGACAATGACCCAACACACCTCCAGGCTGTGTAAGGGCTATTTTACCAAGAAGGAGAGTGATGGAGTGCTGCATCAGATGACCTGGCCTCCACAATCCCCCGACCTCAACCAAATTGAGATGGTTTGGGATGAGTTAGACCGCAGAGTGAAGGAAAAGCAGCCAACAAGTGCTCAGCATATGTGGGAACTCCTTCAAGACTGTTGGAAAAGCATTCCTCATGAAGCTGGTTGAGAGAATGCCAAGAGTGTGCAAAGCTGTCATCAAGGCAAAGGGTGGCTATTTGAGGAATCTCAAATATAACATATATTTGATATGTTAAATACTTTTTTGGTTACTACATGATTCCATATGTGTTATTTCATAGTTTTAATGTCTTCGCTATTATTCTACAATGTAGAAAATAGTAAAAAGAAAGAAAAACCCTTGAATGAGTAGGTGTTCTAAAACTTTGGACTGGTAGTGTATATCTCTGTAGTATACACAATAACTACTCATGGTGTGATTTTGGTAATGTACAGGAACTTCAAGTAATTTTGTTCACCCGACCTAGAATAACTCACAATCAAATGTCGACCGCATTACCTCTGTAGAGAATTTTCTTCGTTTAGCGTCACAGCCATGTATATTCCACCTCAAGCCGATACCACGATGGCTCTCAATGAACTACAATGGACCTTGTGCAAACTGGAAACTGCCTATCCTGAGGCAGCATTTATTATAGCTGGGGACTTTAATAAAGCAAATCTAAGGAAAATGCTACCGAAGTTCTATCAACACATCGCCTGCAGGACTCACGCTTCAAAAACTCTCAACCATTGTTACTCTCCCTTCCGGGATGGCTACAAGGCCCTCCCCCGCCCTCCCTTCGGCAAATCAGATCACGACTCCATTATGCTCCTCCCTTCCTATAGGCAGAAACTCAAACAAGAAGTACCCGTGCTAAGGTCTATTCAATGCTGGTCTGACCAATCGGAATCCATGCTTCAAGACTGTTTTGATCACGCGGACTGGGATATGTTCCGGGTTGCCTCTGAGAATTGACATATGCACTGACACGGTGGCTGAGTTCATCAGGAAGTGTATAGGGGATGTTGTTCCCACTGTGATGATTAAAACCTATCCAAACCAAAAACCGTGGATAGATGGCAGCATTCGCGCAAAACTGAAAGCGCAAATCACCACATTTAACCACCCCAAGGTGACTGGGAATATGATTGAATACAAACAGTCCAGTTATGCCCTCTGTAAGGCAATCAAACAGGCAAAACATCAGTACAGAGACAAAGTGTAGTCGCAATTCAACGGCTCAGTCACAAGACTTTTGTGGCAGGGCCTCCAGACAATCACGGATTATAAAGGGAAAACCAGCCACGTCGCGGACACCGACGTCTTGCTCCGGGACAAGATGAACACCTTCTTCGCCCGCTTTGAGGATATCACAGTGCCATCGACACAGGGCGCTCCCGAGGACTGTGAGATCTCGTTCTCCGATGTGAGTAAGACATTTAAGCATGTTAACCCTCGCAACGCTGCCGGCCCAGACGGCATCCCTAGCCACGTAGTCAGAGCAGAGCATGCGCAGACCAGCTGGCTGGAGTGTCTACCAGGGGCGGTGTGTTCAATAGGGCGATATGGGCGACGCACTGCCAAACGGGAAAAGGAAGGGATTTTTTTTCTAATCAATTATATCACGGCAACAGTAGTTATCAGTGTTGTAATCTAGACGTCTGATCTGCCACAGTGCCACTAAATGTCCAATCAGGCTAAAGTCGTGCTTCAAATGGCACCCCCCCCCCTTTTGGGGCGATTTCAGTCAGGTTGAAAATCGCCCAGAAGTCTGTCATAGACTCCCATGTAAAATCTATTTTTTTCAAATATCAGAGCTTTCAATACAATCTCTATGGGTTTCTGAGGGCTTGCACTTACGCGCTTTCGTCATACGTAACATAACCATGAACGTAACTAAGAAAAGAGCGGGTAGCAGCGTCAATCAATTCACTACTACTATCAAAATGGCTAGGCTTCAGTGCAACTCGATTGTGTCTTTGAAAGAAGTTCCTTTTTGTCGGCGAACAAATGAAGATAAATTGGCAACGAAACAATTAGGACCTCCCAGACCAAATTTAATAATTCAACAGGTTTCTACTAAAGGGGGGAAGTCCTACACCTGAGGATTTTCCAAAAATTGGTACGAACGAAAAACCTGGCTAGCAGGCTGCGATGTAGCTAATGCAGTCTTCTGCTACCCCCTGCTTACTCTTTCACCCTGAAGGCGGCACGGCAGACAGCACCGCTTGGACAGCGACTGGTGTGTAACGGACATGCACCATCTTTCAGGAAAGATTAAGAAACATGAGCTGTCAAAGACCCACATGGATAGCTGTTTGAGATTGTCTGCTTTGGGGAGAGTGAACATTCCCACTCAACTGGATGAGGGATACAGGCTAGCTGTCCGCCGCCACAACGATGAGGTTAGTGTTGATAATCACAAGTTTACTGGAGAACTGAAACTGACAAGGCTGACAAGATAGGACCCTTTTGTCCATTGTTATTGGATAGGAACAGAACTTATAACCAGCTCCTGACCTAAATAGATCTTAGCACAACATTTTACTCAACATATCATATTCCATATTCACTATAACAAATATATTTACTACGACATTAGCAAGAACCGCCACATCCTCAGCCGGCTAATCCAGTGTGTGAAGTTTTGCGGAGTGTTTGAGTTAGCTTTGCGAGGCAAAGATGAAACTGAGGGCTCCACCAACCCTGGTAAGCCAACACTTTTGAGATCAGTCAATAAATGCTTCTGGTATTGACTTATATGCTGCCCCTGTCTTCATGTTGTTGCTGGACATATCTTTTTTTAAATGTGTGTAGGTCACCTAAATCATCAGAAAAATTGCCCCCCCTGAGAATTTTTTCAGGAGCCGCCACTGGTGTCTACTGACATATTCAATATCTCCCTATCCCAGTCTGTTGTCCCCACTTGCTTCAAGATGTCCACCATTGTTCCTGAACCCAAGAAAGCGAAGGTAACTGAAGTAAATGACTATTGCCCCATCCCATCTGGACAAGAGGAATACCTATGTAAGAATGCTGTTCATTGACCACAGCTCAGCCTTCAACACCATAGTACCCTCCAAGCTCATCATTAAGCTCGGGGCCCTGGGTTTGAACCCCGTCCTGTGCAACTGGGTCCTGGACTTCCTGTTGGGCTGCCCCCAGGTGGTGAAGGTAGGCAACAACACCTCCACTACGCTGATCCTCAACACTGGGGCCCCACAAGGGTGCGTGCTCAGCCCCCTCCTGTACTCCCTGTTTACCTATGACTATGTGGCCATGCACACCTCCAACTCAATCAACAAGTTTGCAGACAACACAAAAGTGGTAGGCCTGATTACCAACAATGACGAGACAGCCTACAGGGAGGAGGTGAGGGCCCTGGCAGACTGGTGCCAGGGAAATAACCTCTCCCTCAACGTCAACAAAATGAAAGGGGCTGATCGTTGGACTTCAGGAGACAGCAGAGGAAGCACGCCCCCATCCACATCAACAGGGCTGCAGTGGAGAAGGTGAAAAGCTTCAAGTTCCTCTGCATACACATCACTGACAATCTGAAATGGTCCATCCACACAGACAGTGTGGTGAAGAAGGCGCAACAGCGCATCTTCAACCTCAGGAGGCTGAAAAAATTCAGCTTGGCCCCTAAGACCCTTACAAACTTTTACAGAAGCACCATTGAGAGCATCCTGCCGGGCTGTATCACCACCTGGTACAGCAACTGCACCACCCGCAAATGCAAGGCTCTCCCAATGCATCACCGGGACCACACTGCCTGCCCTTCAGGACATCTACAACACCCGGTGTCACAGGAAGGCCAAGAAGATCTTCAAGGACCTCAGCCACCCGAGCCACGGCCTGTTCACCCCGCTATCATCCAGAAGGCGAGGTCAGTACAGGTGCATCAAAGCTGGGACCGAGATATTGAAAAACAGCTTCTATCTCAAGGCCATCGGACTGTTAAATAGCCATCACTAGCCGGCCTCCACCCAGTACCCTGCCCTGAATTTAGTCATTGTCACTAGCCGGCTACCACCCAGTTACTCATCCCTGCATCTTAGAGGCTGCTGCCCTATGTACGTAGACATGGAACGCTGGTCACTTTAATAATGGAACACTGGTCACTTTAATAATGTTTACATACTGTATTACCCATTTCATATGTATATACTGTATTCTAGTCAATGCCTGCCTATTCAACTATTGCTTTACAATACTATTCTATCCACACATTCTACATATATACTATATATTCTATATATTCTATCCACATACAGTCCATAATGTCTATACATCCCATCACATATACAGTACCAGTCAAAAGTTTGGACACACCTACTCATTCCTGGGTTTTCTTTATTTTTACTATTTTCTACATTGTAGAATAATAGTGAAGACATCCAAACTATGAAATAACACATATGGAATCATGTAGTAACCAAAAATATTTTATATTTGAGATTCTTCAAAGTAGCCACCCTTTGCCTTGATGACAGCTTTGCACACTCTTGGCATTCTCTCAACCAGCTTCATGAAGAATGCTTTTCCAACAGTCTTGAAGGAGTTCCCACATATGCTGAGCACTTGTTGGCTGCTTTTCCTTCACTCTGCGGTCCAACTCATCCCAAACCATCTCAATTGGGTTGAGGTCGGGTGATTGTGGAGGCCAGGTCATCTGATGCAGCACTCCATCACTCTGCTTGGTCAAATACACCTTACACAGCCTGGAGGTGTGTTTTGGGTCATTGTCCTGTTGAAAAACAAATGATAGTCCCACTAAGCACAAACCAGATGGGATGGCGTATCACTGTAGAATGCTGTGGTAACCATGCTGGTTAAGTGTGCCTTGAATTCTAAATAAATCACAGACAGTGTCACCAGCAAAGCACCTACACACCATCACACCTCCTCTTTCATGCTTCACGGTGGGAACCACACTACTCTGCATCTCACAAAGACAAGGCGGTTGGAACCAAAAATCTCCAATTTGGACTCATCAGACCAAAAAACTGATTTACACCGGTCTAATGTCCGTTGCTCGTGTTTCTTGGCCCAAGCAAGTCTCTTCTTCTTATTGGTGTCCTTTAGTAGTGGTTTCTTTGCAGCAATTCGACCATGAAGGCCTGATTCACGCAGTCTCCTCTGAACAGTTGATGTTGTGATGTGTCTGTTACTTGAACTCTGTGAAGCATTTATTTGAGTTGCAATCTGAGGTGCAGTTAACTCTAATGAACTTATCCTCTGCAGCAAAGGTAACTCTGGGTCTTCCTTTCCTGTGGCGGTCCTCATGAGAGCCAGTTTCATCATAGCGCTTGATGGTTTTTGCAACTGCACTTGAAGAAACTTTCAAAGTTCTTGAAATTTTCCGGATTGACTGACCTTCATGTCTTAAAGTAATGATGGACTGTCATTTCTCTTTGCTTATTTTAGCTGTTCTTGCCATAATATGGACTTGGTCTTATACCAAATAGGGCTATCTTCTGTATACCCCCCTACCTTGTCACAACACAACTGATTGGCTCAAACGCATTAAGAAGGAAATAAATTCCACAAATGAACTATTAAGAAGGCACACCTGTTAATTGAAATGCATTCCAGGTGACTACCTCATGAAGCTGGTTGAGAGAATGCCAAGAGTGTGCAAAGCTGTCATCAAGGCAAAGGGTGGCTACTTTGAAGAATCTCAAATATAAAATATATTTTGATTTGTTTAACACTTTTTTGGTTACTACATGATTCCATATGTGTTATTTCATAGTTTTGATGTCTTCACTATTATTCTACAATGTAGATAGTAAAAATAAAGAAAAACCCTGGTATGAGTAGGTGTGTCCAAACTTTTGACTGATACTGTATATAATGAACAAAAATATAAACGAAACATGTAAAGTGTTGGTCCCATGTTTCATGAGCTGAAATAAAAGATCCCAGAAATGTTCCATAGGCACAAAAAGCTTATTTCTCTCAAATTTGGTGTACACATTTGTTTACATCCCTGTTAGTGAACATTTCTCCTTTGCCAAGACAGGTGTGGCATATCAAGAAGCTGATTAAACAGAATGATCATTACACAGGTGCACCTTGTGCTGGGGACAATTAAAGGCCACTCTAAAATGTGCAGTTTTGTCACACAACACAATGCCACAGATGTCTCAAGTTTTAAGGGAGCATGGAATTGGCATGCTGACTGCAGGAATGTCCACTAGAGCTTTTGCCAGAGAATGTAATGTTAATTTCTCTACCATAAGTTGCCTCCAACGTCGTTTTAGAGAATTCGGCAGTACATCCAACTAGCCTCACAACCGCAGACCACGTGTAACCACACCAGCCCAGGACCTCCACATCCGGCTTCTTCACCTACAGGATCGTCTGAGACCAGCCACCCGGACAGCTGATGAAACTGAGGAGAATTTCTGTCTGTAATAAAGCCCTTTTGTGGGGAAAAATTCTGATTGGCTGGGCCTGGCTCCCAAGTGGGTGGGCCTATGCCCTCCATAGATTAGGGCCTAATTAATCTATTTTAATTGACTGATTTTCTTATATGAACTGTAACTCAGTAAAATTTTTGAAATTGTTGCATGTTGCGTTTATATTTTTGTTACGTATATATAAACGTCCCTTTTTATGGACCCTGTCTTTCAAAGATAATTCGTAAAAATCCAAATAACTTCACAGATCTTCATTGTAAAGGGTTTAAACACTGTTTCCCATGCTTGTTCAATGAACCATAAACAATTATTGAACATGCACCTGTGTAACGGTCGTTAAGACACTAACAGCTTACAGACGGTAGGCAATTAAGGTCACAGTTATGAAAACTTAGGACACTAAAGAGGCCTTTCTACTGACTCTGAAAAACACCAAAAGAAAGATGCCCAGGGTTCCTGCTCATCTGCGTGAACGTGCCTTAGGCATGCTGCAAGGAGGCATGAGGACTGCAGATGTGGCCAGGGCAATACATTGCAATGTCTGTACAGTGAGATGCCTAAGACAGCGCTACAGGGAGACAGGACGGACAGCTGATCGTCCTCGCAGTGGCAGACCACGTGTAACAACACCTGCACAGGATCTGTACATCCGAACATCACACCTGCGGGACAGGTACAAGATGGAAACAACAACTGTCCGAGTTACACCAGGAACGCACAATCCCTCCATCAGTGCTCGGACTGTCCGCAATAGGCTGAGAGAGGCTGGACTGAGGGCTTGTAGGCCTGTTGTAATGGCGGGTCGTCACCAGACATCACTGGCAACAACGTCGCCTATGGGCACAAACCCACCGTCGCTGGACCAGACAGGAATGGAAAAAAGTGCTGTTCACTGACGAGTCGCGGATTTGTCTCACCAGGGATGATGGTCGGATTCGCGTTTATCGTCGAAGGAATGAGCGTTACACCGAGGCCTGTACTCTGGAGCGGGATCGATTTGGAGGTGGAGGGTCCATCATGGTCTGGGGCAGTGTGTCACAGCATCATCGGACTGAGCTTGTTGTCATTGCAGGCAATCTCAACGCTGTGTGTTACAGGGAAGACATCCTCCTCCCTCATGTGGTACCCTTCCTGCAGGCTCATCCTGACATGACCCTCCAGCGTGACAATGCAACCAGCCATACTGCTCGTTCTGTGCGTGGTTTCCTGCAAGACAGGAATGTCAGTGTTCTGCCATGGCCAGCGAAGAGCCCGGATCTCAATCCCATTGAGCACGTCTGGGACCTGTTGGATCGGAGGGTGAGTGCTAGGGCCATTCCCCCCAGAAATGTCCGGTAACTTGCAGGTGCCTTGGTGGAAGAGTGGGGTAACATCTCACAGCAAGAACTGGCAAATCTGGTGCAGTCCATGAGGAGGAGATGCACTGCAGTACTTAATGCAGCTGGTGGCCGCAACAGATACTGACTGTTACTTTTGATTTTGACCCCCCCCTTTGTTCAGGGACACATTATTCAATTTCTGTTAGTCACATGTCTGTGGAACTTGTTCAGTTTATGTCTCAGTTGTTGAATCTTGTTATGTTCATACTATTTTGATTTTACTTTTCGATCTGTGTGCATTGTTGTGAATGTTAGATACTACTGCACTGTTGGAGAAAGGAACACAAGCATTTCGCTACACCCACAATAACTTCTGCTAAATATGTGTATGTGACCAATAACATTTTATTTTATTTCATATTCTCTCTCTCCTACTTAAATAAAGGCTTGTTATTCTATCTTTCATGCCACACTTTCGCCCTCTTTCCGCTCTCTCTTTCTTTGCAGCCTTCTCTCCCTGTTTCTCCCTCTCTCTCCTTCTCTATTTGCCTCTGTTCATGCTCAACCCCTCTATCATTATTCACTCTCCCTCCCTCTCTCCCCCCTCTGCCACTCTCTTTCTCTCCTTCACACTCTTTGCCTCTGCTCTCTCTCAAACCCTGTCTCATTCTTTCTCTCACTCCCTTCCTCTGCTGCTTTCTCCCCTCGTCCTGTTCATCTGTCCCCTCACCATTCCTCTCTCTCTCTCTCTCTCTCTCGCTCGCTCTCTCTCTCCCCCTCTCTCTCTCCGTCTCTTTTAATCACATTGTTACTGTAATGGTTCAGTGCTTCAAGCCAAAGCTTTTAAATAGAAACATGTGAATGAACACTGGTTCCCTTATACACACGCTCCCTCTCCCTGCCTCTCTCCCTCGCTCTCTCCCTGCCTCTCTTCCTCGCTCCCTCTCTCCCGTGCTCTTTCTCTCCTCCCTCTCTCCCTCTCTCTCTCTTTCCCTCCCTCACTCTCTCTCCCTCTCCCTGCCCATCTCCCTAGCTCCTTCTCCATTTTAGTCATTTAGCAGACGCTCTTACCCTCGCTCCTTCTCCCTCTCCCTTTATCTCTCCCTTGCCCTCTATCCCTTTCATACGCTTTCGCTCGTTTGACATTTCACATGCAAATACATGCGTAGACAACACACAGACACACATGCTATGCCACGTACAAGGACACACAAGGTTAGGGAGGGCAAGCTAATTTGAAGCATACAGTACATGCTACAGTGACAGAGAGATTCAGATGGAATTTATGTATAGGAGAGAGGACATGAAATCTGCACCAGCATTTCTGTCCGTTTGGAGTCCTCTAAAACGTTGTTGTCATAATGCATGCATTTCTTCTCTGGCTGGAGAAAGAGAGCATGGTTGCCACCTACTGGGGAGAATGTATAGCACCACTGAATCTGTGAAAGAGAGCATGGGTTGCCACCTACTGGGGAGAATGTATAGCACCACTGGATCTGTGAAAGAGAGCGAGAGAGCGACAGGCAGAGAGAGAGTGCGCACACATGCGCATGTATGTGAATATGTGCATGGTTGTGTGCATTTGCATAAGGGATTATGCACAGATGTTTTTTGTTTGCCATCGTTACATTCAATACATTCCAAATGAGCTTTTCCTTCTCATTTATCATTCAACCAGCCTCCACTGGTTGTCCCTATATGTCTGACTCTCTCCCTTCCCTCCAGCCTGGCCGAGGTACCGTGTGATGCGGGTGCAGGAACTGGGCCAGTATAACCTGGAGATCATCTCAGCTGAGCTGTCTGATGACTCCCTGTACGAGTGTCAGGCCCCAGACGCAGCACTACGTTCTAGAAGAGCCAAACTCACTGTCCTCAGTAAGATACAGCAACTGTGTGTGTGTACATACGTGTGTGTGTGTGTGTCTGTGTCTGTGTGTGTGTGTGTGTGTGCGTAACCCCCCTCTCCTGTGTCCAGTCCCCCCAGATGACCCAGTGATCGACGGGGCCCCTGAGGTGCTGTTGAATGCAGGTGACCACTATAACCTGAGCTGTGTGTCCCGCGGGGCCAAGCCCCCTGCCATGATAGAGTGGCAAAAAGACGGCCTCCCCGTAGACGGAGCAGTCAGCACCACCGTGAGTCAATTAAACATGCATCTACACATACAGTACCAGTCAAAATTTTGGACACACCTACTCATTCAAGGGTTTTTCTATATTTTTACTATTTTCTACATTGTAGAATAATAGTGAAGACATCAAAACTATGAAATAACACATATGGAATCATATAGTAACCAAAAGAGTGTTTTAAAAAATCTAAATATATTTTATATTTAAGATTCTTCAAAGTAGCCACCCTTTGTCTTGATGACAGCTTTGCACAGTCTTGGACTCAATCATGTTTCACCTATACTCTTTCTCATCCTTATATTGGCTGCCTTGTCTTCCTTCTTCTTCTCCCTTCTCTCTCCATCAGGAGGTGCTCCCAGACAGGAAGAGGGTGACGACCCACAGCTTCCTGCCCATCCACCCAGTGGACACAGACACAGGGAGGAACTACAGCTGTGTGGCCAGCAACCTGGCTATCCCCACTGGGAAACACACCACCGTCACCCTCAACGTACACCGTAAGTCACCCTCAACGTACACCGTAACGACTTGTTCATAACATCCCCTTAGCTTTACATATATTGACTGTTTACTGTATGACTGAATATCTGATGTTATTTAAGGACAACAGTTTCTAGTGACAACCAGTAGATACACTTAGATCACTGCCCAGGAACCTTGAGGTGGTTCTCTCTTTTTCCACCATCTCTCTCTGCCCCCCACTCCTCCCTCCTTCTCTCTATCATTTGCTTATTTGCTGATGTATCTGAGTGACTTAGTGATTCTCTGCCCTCTCCCCCAGACCCCCCCATGGTGACCCTGTCCATCGAGCCTCGCTCCGTCCTAGAGGGGGACAGAGTCACCTTCACCTGCGCCGCCTCTGCCAACCCTCCTATCATGGGATACATGTACTGTATACCTCTGTCTACCTCTATACATCTGTTGATCTGTCTGTCTATCTATATGTCCACCTATATCACTAGCTGTGCATTAGCCCAGCTGGATAGAATCTATCTATTTGGGTATGTTTCATGTGTTATTTGTTGTGAGCAAGTGTTTGGCCAATGCGGGAATCAAACCCACAACTCTGGCAGTACATGTCTATTCATACAATATGTATGTTCTTTCTTAGGTGGGCTAAGGGTGGAGTGATCCTGCAGGGAGCCAGAGAGAGTGTGTTCACCACCAAAGCTGATCACTCCTTCTTCACAGAGCCAGTGTCCTGCTCAGTGTTCAATGCTGTGGGTAAAACCAACGTCAGCATCCTGGTCGATGTACACTGTGAGTCTGACTGAACCTCCATGGCTGGCAAATACTCTGTCAGGGGTGAAAGTAAGGTGGTACGTTCCGGTACAGTTCGGTACAGCGTCCCGGCAAAATAAATAGTGGGGGTACGCCGTACCGGTAAAACATGAGCCTATCACAATAATTAAAACAACATTTCAAGAAAACTGTAGGTTATTACCCCATTATTTATCATTAGGCTACCGCATGTCAGAGGCATGAAAAATGAGTGAATGGACTTGAAAATGGTTGGTATAGCCTACGCTCCAAAATACGATGTGGTTCGACGAGAACACTGACGTTTTGCCAAGGCAGAGATGAATGGCTGACATCGAGACGCGCGCGGACAGCAGTGGATGCATAAATTCTGGCCTAATGACAATCACCAAAATGTCATTACACTTTGTGTTTTTTTACATAAAATATGTATTTTTCCATTCACCACTGTTTGGAGACTGGAAATATGCTGCGAGTGGATGAACGTGCTAGGGTAGCCTACTAAAGGAGGTCTTTGAAGTGATTGTTTGACAATCAGATGAAAACATCATGACTGGTTGTGCCACAGTAAAAGGTAATACATTTTAAAAGTTAAATGACAAATCTTTACGACTAGGCCCACAGAGATCCTATTGAAATAATATGGATTCTGCTGTATATGTAATTCTATGATTAAGCGTGTGCACACACAGGAGGTTCCAAACCGGGAAGAAATTAAATCTACTTACACCCCTGACTGTTAGTCTCTTCTCGATCTCAATCTCCCCTCATACTGTATCCCCATCTCCTAAACCTAGTCATCTATACTCTCCTCGCTCTCTCGCTCTCTCTCTCTCTCCTCTCTCTCTCTCTCTCTCTCTTCTCTCTCTGCTCTCTCTCTCTCTCTCTCTCTCTCTCTCTCTCTCTCTCTCTCTCTCCTCTCTCTCTCTCTCTCCTCTCTCCTCTCTCTCTCTCTCTCTCTCTCTCTCTCTCTCTCTCTCTCTCTCTCTCTCTCTCCATTGGTCCTATCCTGGTAGTGGAGCCTAGGCCAGTGACTGTGGACATAGACTCTGATGTCACTCTGAACTGCAAATGGGCTGGCAACCCTCCTCTCACCCTCACCTGGACCAAGAAGGGCTCCAACATGGTGAGAACCAGCTCTCTCTCTAACTCCTCTACTCTCCTTTCTTTTGCTGTCTGTATCTTTATAGTCTCCCTCTCTCTTCTATTCCTTTGTCTCTATTCTTTTTTGCTCCCGTGCTCTGTCCATCTCTCTCTTTCTCTTGGCATTTTCCTGATCCCCCCCCCCCCCCTCCGCTTCTCTCCTCCATCTGTCTCTCTCTCTCTGACTTCTTCACCTCTGTCCGTCGCTATTTTATTCTCTTTTTCATTCCTTCAGTGTCCATTTCTCGCTCTCATCCTAATCTCTTTCTATCTTTTTATAGTCCCCCTCTCTCTTCTATCCCTTCCTTCTTCACCTCCTCCTGTTTTTAGCGCAGGTTGAGGTTTATTGTCATAATCTTGCCTTGGAGGCAGAACTGAGTGATTTCTGCTAGATGGGACAACTACAAAGTAAAAAAAAATCCATTCTGTCAAAATTACGTTTTTTGTTTTGCTTTAAGGTTAGGGTTACGCTAGCCTCGTCCCGAAACAGGCTTCCCTTAAACGGGGAGCCTGGGCGGGAAGCCTGGGGAAGTTCCATGGAGGAAATCAGCTAAAGAGGGGTCGGAACCGGGTATAAATCAGTGACACCGCGTAACACGCCATACCAATCAAATGCCTTGCTTACATCACAGAAGATTGAAATATAACAAAACTTAGACATAGAAACACCTGATTTCCGTTGTTTAAAAACGTTTGTTTTATTTGATTAATTATGAAATTATGAAAAACCAGTGGTGGAAAAAGTACCCATAATTTTCTTTAGGAATGTAGTGAAGTAAAAGTAAAATTTGTCAGAAATATTAATAGCACAGTAAAGTACACATACCCCCAAAAACTACTTAAGTAGTGCTTTCAACTATTTTTACTTAAGTACTTTACACCACTGTGAAAAATATTAATAACATTCCACCCATGAGGCCAAAGAGGGCGTTTTTGGTCATTGACTGCAGGAAAAAGGGCAACTTAACATTGACACTAGTTCATTTTGAAAATATTGTTTAACAATTAAAACAAGTTTAAATACAATTAAGATAACTTGTTTGTAAAGATTAGACATCTTAGTCTAAACAACAGTAGATCATTGAGTAGTAACAAATAGGCTATTATTACTAAAGCATCATTTCAGGTGGCCAACCTTGCTCCACTGATCCCTGATCTACTGGGTGAGCAGACTTCTATTCCAGCCCAGCAATAGCACACTTCATTATCAACTGAATCAGGTGTGTTATTGCTGGGCTGGAATTGGCCTGCTCCAATTGTAATAGGTTTATACATTCTGTGTGATGTTTAACTGTATTTTTGGATACAACATTTTCTAACATAGGTAGGCCTACACATACAGTGCATTCTGAAACTATTCAGACCCCTTTACTTTTTCCACATTTTGTTACGTTACATCCTTATTCTAAAATGTTTTTGTATTTTTTATAATCCTCAGCAATCTACACACAATATCCCATAATGGCAAAGCGAAAACAGTTTTTAAACTTTTTTTTGTACATTTATATACAGTGAGGGAAAAAAGTATTTGATCCCCTGCTGATTTTGTACATTTGCCCACTGACAAAGACATGATAAGTCTATAATTTTAATGGTAGGTTTATTTTAACAGTGAGAGACAAAATAACAACAAAAAAATCCAGAAAAACGCATGTCAAAAATGTTATAAATTGATTTGCATTTTAATGAGTGAAATAAGTATTTGACCCCTCTGCAAAAAAAGACTTAGTACTTGGTGGCAAAACCCTTGTTGGCAATCACAGAGGTCAGACGTTTCTTGTAGTTGGCCACCAGGTTTGCACACATCTCAGGAGGAATTTTGTCCCACTCCTCTTTGCAGATCTTCTCCAAGTCACTAAGGCTGACGTTTGGTAACTCGAACCTTCAGCTCCCTCCACAGATTTTCTATGGGATTAAGGTCTGGAGACTGGCTAGGCCACTCCAGGACCTTAATGTGCTTCTTCTTGAGCCACTCCTTTGTTGCCTTGGCCGTGTGTTTTGGGTCATTGTCATGCTGGAATACCCATCCACGACCCATTTTCAATGCCCTGGCTGAGGGAAGGAGGTTCTCACCCAAGATTTGACGGTACATGGCCTCGTCCATCGTCCCTTTGATGCGGTGAAGTTGTCCTGTCCCCTTAGCAGAAAAACACCCCCAAAGCATAATGTTTCCACCTCTATGTTTGACGGTGGGGATGGTGTTCTTGGGGTCATAGGCAGCATTCCTCCTCCTCCAAACACGGCGAGTTGAGTTGATGCCAAAGAGCTCGATTTTGGTCTCATCTGACCACAACACTTTCACCCAGTTCTCCTCTGAATCATTCAGATGTTCATTGGCAAACTTCAGACGGGCCTGTATATGTGCTTTCTTGAGCAGGGGGACCTTGCGGGCGCTGCAGGATTACAGTCCTTCACGGCGTAGTGTGTTACCAATTGTTTTCTTGGTGACTATGGTCCCAGCTGCCTTGAGATCATTGACAAGATCCTCCCGTGTAGTTCTGGGCTGATTCCTCACCTTTCTCATGATCATTGTAACTCCACGAGGTGAGATCTTGCATGGAGCCCCAGGCCGAGGAAGATTGACAGGTATTTTGTGTTTCTTCCATTTGTGAATAATCGCACCAACTGTTGTCACCTTCTCACCAAGCTGCTTGGTGATGGTCTTGTAGCCCATTCCAGCCTTGTGTAGGTCTACAATCTTGTAATTGACATCCTTGGAGAGCTCTTTGGTCTTGGCCATGGTGGAGAGTTTGGAATCTGATTGATTGATTGCTTCTGTGGACAGGTGTCTTTTATACAGTGGGGGAAAAAAGTATTTAGTCAGCCACCAATTGTGCAAGTTCTCCCACTTAAAAAGATGAGAGAGTGCTGTAATTTTCATCATAGGTACACGTCAACTATGACAGACAAATTGAGGGAAAAAAATCCAGAAAATCACATTGTAGGATTTTTTATGAATTTATTTGCAAATTATGGTGGAAAATAAGTATTTGGTCACCTACAAACAAGCAAGATTTCTGGCTCTCCTGGAGTGGCCTAGCCAATCTCCAGATCTCAACCCCATAGAAAATCTTTGGAGGGAGCTGAAAGTCCGTGTTGCCCAGCGACAGCCCCAAAACATCACTGCTCTAGAGGAGATCTGCATGGAGGAATGGGCCAAAATACCAGCAACAGTGTGTGAAAACCTTGTGAAGACTTACAGAAAACGTTTGACCTGTGTCATTGCCAACAAAGGGTATATAACAAAGTATTGAGAAACTTTTGTTATTGACCAAATACTTATTTTCCACCATAATTTGCAAATAAATTCATAAAAAATCCTACAATGTGATTTTCTGGATTTTTTTTTCTCATTTTGTCTGTCATAGTTGACGTTTGTCTGTCATAGTTGACGTGTACCTATGATGAAAATTACAGGCCTCTCTCATCTTTTTAAGTGGGAGATCTTGCACAATTGGTGGCTGACTAAATACTTTTTTTCCCCACTGTACAGGTAACAAGCTGAGATTAGCAGCACTCCCTTTAAGAGTGTGCTCCTAATCTCAGCTCGTTACCTGTATAAAAGACACCTGGGAGCCAGAAATGTTTCTGATTGAGAGGGGGTCAAATACTTATTTCCCTCATTAAAATGCAAATAAATTTATAACATTTTCGACATGCGTTTTTCTGGATTTTGTTGTTGTTATTCTGTCTCTCACTGTTCAAATAAACCTACCATTAAAATTATAGACTGATCATTTCTTTGTCAGTGGGCAAACGTACAAAATCAGCAGGGGATCAAATACTTTTTTCCCTCACTGTACATAAAAAAAAGGTTACTCAACTGGCAGCTTCATTAAATACTGCCTGCAAAACACCAGTCTCAACGTCAACAGTGAAGCGGCGACTCCAGGATGCTGACCTTCTAGGCAGAGTTGCAAAGAAAAAGCCATATCTCAGACTGCCCATCTTAATCTTTTCTTTTTATTGGCCAGTCTGAGATATGGCTTTTTATTTGCAACTCTGCTTAGAAGGTCAGCATCCCGGAGTCGCCTCTTCACTGTTGACGTTGAGACTGGTGTTTTGCGGGTACTATTTAATGAAGCTGCCAGTTGAGGACCTGTGAGGCGTCTGTTTCTCAAACTAGACACTCTAATGTATTTGTCCTCTTGCTCAGTTGTGCACCGGGGCCTCCCACTCCTCTTTCTATTCTGGTTAGAGCCAGTTTGCACTGTTCTGTGAAGGGAGTAGTACACAGCCTTGTACGAGATCTTCAGTTTCTTGGCAATTTCTCGCATGGAATAGCCTTCATTTCTCAGAACAAGAATAGACTGACGAGTTTCAGAAGAAAGTTTCTGAAACAGTTTTCAACTGCGCTAACATAATTGCAAAATGGTTTTCTAATGATCAATTAGCCTTTTAAAATGATAAACTTGGATTAGCAAACACAACGTGCCATTGGAACACAGGACTGATGGTTGCTGATAATGGGCCTCTGTACGCCTATGTAGATATTCCATTAAAATTCAGCCGTTTCCAGCTACAATAGCCATTTACAACATTAACAATGTCTACACTGTATTTTGGATCAATTTTATGTTATTTTAATGTACAAAAAAAATGCTTTTCTTTCGAAAACAAGGACATTTCTAAGTGACCCCAAACTTTTGAATGGTAGTGTATGTACATGTGATATTTCATTTTATTTGATAAATTAGCAAACATTTCTAAAAAACTGTTTTTGCTTTGTCATTATGGGGTATTGTGTGTAGATTGATGAGGGAAAAACAATTTAATCAATTTTAGAATAAGGCTGTAACGTAATAAAATGTGGAAAAAGTCAAGTGGTCTGAATACTTTCCGAAGGCACTGTATAACCCATGGCATATAGGATATACCCTTAGTCTCTTGGGACTTCTTTCTCTTCATCTGCAAACAGGCTTACACAGCTTTCTGAAGACAGAAAACATCACAAAGAAACAGGCTTCATTATACTCAAATTAGACAGCACTGAATACTATGTTGCTATTATCTCTCTGTCCTCTAAAGTTTTCCCCTCTAGGGACTGGAACTGGAGAATCTTTTCACAATGTCCTCCCACAAAGTGACCTGCCCTATCCAGTAGCCTACACTCTCCCTTTACTGATCGCTGGAGCTACAATTTCACCCTCTTCCATGGTTGTTATCTACAAATGCATTTGTATTTTTAATTTTCAATAATTACATCAAGATTGCTAGTTATAGGAAGTTAGCTGGCTGATGACATTTAATTCACTAAACTAAACAGTGTGTAAAATTAGCTAGCAAGCAGCTCAGTTGAGTTGGCCTACTGTAGCCAGCTAGCTAGCTAGCTAATATTATATATATATATTTTTTACATTTAAGAAATTTATTTACTGGCACTGCCTCCTTTTCTTGGGTCCTTACAAAAACAAAATAATGGGCATCTTCATGATATTTTCTGTGGTAGAATGGAAACAACTAAAGAAGTCTGTCACCAGAGCGGTTTAGAACGTGTTGTGACGTTTACCTTTACCAGCGTAATCCACTTTAAATTTCAATACATATAAATCACACACTGTCAGCCGCACTTGATAACTTGAAAACTAGCACTTAAAGCTAACATGGGCAACAACAACAACTACCCGGACGGAACACAGTGACGCACTTAACACACAGCACCCCTTCTACGGGCGTGTGGGGGGAGGATCCAATCAAAATCGGACCGTTCAAAAAGTGTTTGCAATACAAAATTCTCCAGACCTCCAAGGGTGGTTTGACAATGACATGATTTTGGAGGTATGGCAATGCAAGACTAGTGTTAGGCATTAGGGTTAGCAGTGTAGTTAAGGTTAGGGTTAGGATAGAAATGTGATTTTATGACTTTGTGGCTGTGCCAGCTAGTGACCACTCTGCAGAGCTGCCTTCAGTAAATGAGTCATCCCAATAAATGGAAGGAAAGTAGAATGGTTTCATCATCGCACTCCTCTTTTCTTCTGTTTATCTCGTTCTCTCTGTTTGTCCCTGATTCCCTCTCTCTCTCCATCCCTTATAGGTTCTTAGTAATAACAACCAGCTGTTCCTGAAGTCAGTGAGCCAGGCGGACGCTGGGCAGTACGTGTGTAAGGCCATCGTCCCCAGGATCGGAGTGGGAGAGACAGAGGTCACTCTCACTGTCAACGGTACATAACACCGAAGAACACACACAACAGTACCCTCTTAGAAAAAAGGGTTCCGAAAGGGTTCTACATGGAACCCAAAAGGGTTCTTCAAAGGGTTCAAATAACCCTTTTAGGTTCTAGGTAGAAACTTTTTTTCTAAGAGTGTAGATAATAAATACTGGTGCTATATGGAATATAACACCCCCTCACACTTTCTCTCTCTCTTTCTCTCTCTCTTTCTATCCAGGTCCCCCCATCATCTCCAGTGAGCCTGTTCAGTATGCGGTGAGGGGGGAGAGAGGAGAGGTCAAATGCTACATCGCCAGCACACCTCCACCAGACAAGATTGTAAGTGGACAGTTGATACTCTACAAACTCTACTGCAAGCTTATACATGACCACATGACCACCTATACATTATTGTCATCGTGAGACTGACATAGTCGACACTCTATCAGCGGTTCCCAAACTTTTATGTCTTGTGACAGCCATCAAAATCTTTTGGAATTGTCCTGAGACCCACCAAGTAAACAAACCCAATGTTTCTAGCTGGGGACACTTCTATCTCCTTCACTCCACTTGTCTCTCTGGTCTGGATGCACTCAGACAGTGTCTGTGTCTGAAATGGCACCCTATTCCCTACATAGTGCACCCAATGGGCCCTGGTCAAAAGTAGTGCACTGTATAGGGAATAGGATGCCATTTTGGATGCAGTCAGTGTGTAGTTGGTCTCGTCCTCCACTCCTCTCCTCTCTAAACCTTGTGAGTTTAATTCTCTCTGACGCACCAGGCTGCCTCTCTAATGCAAGGACAGAAAAAGAGTTATAAAATATGAAGTACAGGAATGGCAGGAACAGTTGTCCAGGCAAATTCCTCCGCCAGAGTTTCTCGTTTTTCAGAATAAATGGTAGATTATGGGAACATGTGGCCTTATGCATTTTTAAATACTCTCTCATACTTCAGTGTGAATAATAGCTTTTAGTGGGTTGGAAGTTGAGGAAGTGTGTAAGATTCTCACCAACTCTAAAACCACTACATGTAACTCTAAAGTCCAAGAATAGAGCGATATAACTGCTTGGAACTGTTGCTGTTGGTTGTGTGTGAATCTCATAATGTGGGCATTGTAAGTGTGTGTGAATGTTTTGGGATGTATGTGCTTGTTTGTTTACTTTAGTGTGTGTGTGTCTTTAAGTGTGTGTGTGTGTGTGTCTTTCTGTATACTGTACATATGTGTCTACAGTGGCAGACTTACCATTAGACAACTCAGGCAATTGCCTGGGGCCTCACATCATCAGGGGTCTCGTGAACTTGCCATCATTTTGTTTATTAATACATCATGTCTCTGTTATCTTTCCTTCTTCTTCTGCTTGAGGCCCTCCTCCGATGTGCGCTATTTAGAGTGACCGTCTCTGGTTGTGACAAACGGAGTGGATTCTTTTTTCTTCCTCTGAATTCTGCTCTAGCTTTTGAATGGTTGGGTCCATAAGCTATTATGACCCCATTCCTGAAAGCTAAGACTCTTTCTATTTCCCTCTACGACACTCACAAGCTGTGCAGGACATGTTAGAAAGGACTGTGACAAAACCGCAATTGAAAACAATGCATGTCTTTTTTTCTACACACACAATTATTACTTGATGAACATTCAAATATATTTTTTATCCATATCACTCACTTTGTGATGCCAATTAAAAATTGTTACACCTTTCCCAAAATGATTGCCCACCACTGTACTAAATGGTGATGCAAAGACCTTTACTAGTGAAGGGTATTTCAAGTCTTTTCAGTTAGCCTTTTCGTTCTGCTTCGTTCACCTAAAAGAGCCAGCTCCGTACAGCTCTTCATTCAGTAGCCATGGGGGGGCCTCAGACTGGCCTCTACCTGGGGCCTCCAAATCACTAAGTCCACCCCTGTGTGCGTACTCCTCTAAATGTGCGTATGTACATCTATGCATATATGTGTTTGTGCATAATGCATGTGTGTGTCAGTGCACATACAGTATAGGATATGGGTGTGTGTTAATGTGCGCCTGCCTGCCTGTGTTCCAGGTGTGGGCGTGGAAAGAGAACGTATGGGAGAAGGAGAAGGGGACTCTGTTGGAGAGGTACACGGTGGAGCAGAGTAAACCTCTGTCTGAGGGAGGGGCTGTCCTCTCCACCCTCACCATCAACAACGTCATGGAGGCTGACTTCCTGTCCACCTACAACTGTACTGCCTGGAACTCCTTCGGACCCGGGACCATGATCATCACCCTGGAAGAGACCGGTACGACTAGAGACAAACAACAACAACAACAACAACACCATTATATTCATACTCCTAACTTGATACGACCAGACATCCCTCCTCAAAAATAACAACAACAACAATAACCACCATATATATTCATGCCTGCTCTATTACAATGTTTTAGCTGAATCGGCATGTTGTATAAACAGCTAACTGAACGCTATTGCATTGACCACTTACATTTTTCTGTAACATTTCTCTCTCCGTCTCTCTCTCTCCTCCCTCTCTCTCGCTAACTGTCTCTCTCTCTCTCTCTCTCTCTCTTCCCTCTCTCTCTCTCCCCCTCCCTCTGTCTCTCTCTATTCCCTCTCTCAGAGGAGGTCCCAGTGGGTATAATAGCAGGAGGAACTGTTGGCTGCACCATCCTGCTGTTCCTGTGTTTACTAGTCCTGGTGCTCATCTTCTACCGACAGCGCAAAGGCAGTGAGTGACACCTCCATCTACTGCACACAGATCAACCAAATAGGAAATATAATAATATGCCATTTAGCAGACGCTTTTATCCAAAGCGACTTACAGTCATGCGTGCATAAATTTTTGTGTATGGGTGGTCCCGGGGATCGAACCCACTACCTTGGCGTTACAAGCGCCGTGCTCTACCAGCTGAGCTACAGAGGACCACAATATCAAACACATACACCTGTAAAATACAGTAGCAAACACATACAAATACATATTTCACATACCCATGCCTTGAAAACATCATATACACCTGAACTTCCTCAAAAAGCAATATATTATTCACATGTTTACACTTACATTAAATACATACATATACTTAAACATATACAGTACATAAACATACACATACTGTATCTAAATCACTATACCCTGACATATATCCAGCAGTATTCAACTGTGTGCTGTGCTGTTGTGTTGTGCTTCCAGGTCGTCGCGGGGTCACGCTGGGTAAACCAGACATCAAGGTAGAGACAATAAACAAGGAGACCCACAGTCTGGAGGAGGACTCCGGCAGCGTTTCCACGGCATCACGCATGGTCAAGGCCATGTACTCGGTGAGTCGCCATGACAACGCTACAGCAGGTTGCCTTGAACTTTGCTGGCTTTGGTTTATGTTACCCAAGTTTCCCCTCAGGCGATAACTAAAGTTTTTTCAATAATTCCAACGACGCCTCAACTCTGAAGCTATCACCTTACAGCTAACCCTTTAACAGAAATGCACAATTTATTTTTCTGTCATATCAACTTTTGCTGTTCTATCTTTTCAATCACAATACTCAGAATTTTTTACACTTTTCAACTTAAAATTCGATCTGTCACTTTCTCTTCCTTACCTCTTCTTTTTATTTTTTATTCTTCGGTCCCCCGCCCCCCCCCCCCTCTTATGTTGGATTCCTCCCCACCTTTGTTGTTTTTTCGTTGTTTGATGGTTTAGTTTCTGCCCTCTTCTGTATCCTTCTCTCCCTCCTCTCAGCCCTTTAAAGATGATATAGAATTGAAACAGGACCTACGTAGCGACACGTTAGACACTCGCCAGGAGTACGACCTGAAGGTGAGATCATCTTACACACGTGCCTTCAGAAAGTATTCACACCCCTTGACTTATTCCACATTTTGTTGTGTTACAGCCTGAATTCAAAATGGATTCAATATATTTTTCTCTCACCCATCTACACACAATACCCCATAATGACAAAGTGAAAATATGTTTTTTTAGAAAAGTTTATTGAAAATGAAATACAGAAATATCTCATTTACATAAGTATTCACATCCCTGAGTCAATACTTTGTAGAAGCACCTTTGGCCGCGATTACAGCTTTCAGTCGTCTTGGGTATGTCTGTATCAGCTTCACACATCTGGATTTGGGGATTTCTCCCATTCTTCTGTGGAGATTTCCTCACGCTCTGTTAAGTTAGATGGGGAGCGGCGGTAGGGACGGTGAAAGACGGGTGATGAGCTGTTTTCTCCACACATAGCGCTTTGCATTCAGGCCAAAGAGTTCCATTTTTGTCTTAACAGACCACAGAATCTTTTGCCTTATGCTCTCAGAGTCTTTCACGTGCCTTTTTGCAAACTCCAGGCGTGCTGTCATATGCTTTTTTCTCAGGAGTGGCTTCCATCTGGCCACTCTCCCATAAAGCCCAGATTGGTGAAGTGCTGTAGAGAAACTCTGTAGGTCTGTCAGAGTGGTCATTGGGTTCTTGGTCACCTCCATATTTCTTAAATTTCCCAATGATGGAGACCACTGTGCTCTTTGAAACTTTCAACACTCTAGAAAATATTGAATGCCCTTCCGCAGATATATGCCTCATCACAATTCTATCTCTGAGATTTACGGACAGTATAGTTTCTGCTCTGACATGCGCTGTCAACTGTGGTACCTTACAGTGCATTCGGAAAGTATTCAGACCCCTTGACTTTTTCCACATTTTGTTACGTTACAGCCTTATTCTGTAGATTGATCTCCTCATCAATCTACACACAATACCCCTTAATGACAAAGCGAAAACAGGTTTTTAGAAATGTTTGCAAATTCATTACAAATAAAAAACTGAAATGCCTAATTTACATAAGTATTCAGACCCTTTGCTATGAGACTCGAAATTGAGCTCCTGTTTCCATTGATCATCATTGAGATGTTTCTACAACTTGATTGGAGTCCACCTGTGGTAAATTCAATTGATTGGACATGATTTGGAAAGGCACACACCTGTCTATATAAGGTCCCACAGTTGAAAGTGCATGTCCGAGCAAAATTGATAGTCCCCAAAAACACAGTGGCCTCCATTATTCTTAAATGGAAGAAGTTTGAAACCACAGAGACTCTTCCTAGAGCTGGCTACCCGGTCAAACTGAGCAATCGGGGGAGAAGGGCCTTGGTCAGGGAGGTGACCAAGAACCCGATGGTCACTCTGACAGAGCTCCAGAGTTCCTATGTGGAGATGAGAGAATCTTCCAGAAGGACAACCATCTCTGCAGCACTCCACCAATCAGGCCTTTATGGTAGAGTGGCCAGACGGAAGCCACTCCTCAGTAAAAGGCACATGACAACCCGCTTGGAGTTTGCCAAAAGGCACCTAAAGGACTCTCAGTCCATGAGAAACAAGATTCTCTGGTCTGATGAAACCAAGATTGAACTCATTGGCCTGAATGCCAAGCGTCACGTCTGGAGGAAACCTGGCACCATCCCTACGGTGAAGCATTGTGGTGGCAGCATCATGCTGTGGGGATGTTTTTCAGCGGCAGGGACTGGGAGACTAGTCAGGATCGAGGCAAAGATGAGCGGAGCAAAGTACAGAGAGATCCTTGATGAAAACCTGCTCCAGAGCGCTCAGGACCTCAGACTGGGGCGAAGGTTCCCCATCCAACAGGACAACGACCCTAAGCACACAGCCAAGACAACACAGGAGTGGCTTCGGGACAAGTCTCTGAATGTCCTTGAGTGGCCCAGCCAGAGCCCGGACTCGAACACAATCGAACATCTCTGGAGAGACCTGAAAATAGCTGTGCAGCGACGCTCCCCATCCAACCTGACAGAGCTTGAGAGAATCTGCAGAGAACAATGGGAGAAACTCCCCAAATACAGGTGTGCCAAGCATGTAGCGTCATACCCAAGAAGACTCAAGGCTGTAATCGCTGCCAAAGGTGCTTCAACAAAGTACTGAGTAAAGGGTCTGAATACTTATGTAAATGTGATATTTCTGGTTTTTTTATTTTTTATACATTTGCTAAAATTTCTAAAAACCTGTTTTTGCTTTGTCATTATGGGGTATTGTGTGTAGATTGATGAGGATTTGTTTTTAAAATCAATTTTAGAATAGGGCTGTAATGTAACAAAATGTGGGAAAAGTCAAGGTGTCTGAATACTTTCCGAATGCACTGTATATAGGCAGGTGTGTTTCTTTATAAATCATATCCAAACAATTGAATTGGCAACAGGTGGACTCCAACAAGTGGACTCTAATCAAGTTGTAGTGACATCTCAAGAATGATCAAAGGAAATTGGATGCACCTAAGCTCAATTTGGAGTGTCATAGCAAACGGGTGTGAATACTTATGTAAATGAAATATTTCTGTATTGCATTTTCAATAATTTTGCAAACATATCTAAAAACATGTTTTCACTTTGTCATTAAGGGGTATTATGTGTAGATGGGTGACAAACAAATCTGTTTAATCCATTTTGAATTCAGGCTGTAACACAACTAAATGTGGAATAAGTTAAGGGGTACAAATACTGTCACACACACACACACACACACACAGACACACATACACACACACACATACACACACACACACACACACACACACACACACACACACACACACATTAGTTACAATATGTTTTCTAATCTCTCTCTCTCCAGGACCCCACCAACGGCTACTACAATGTGCGTGCCTCCTCCCACGACGAGGGTCGCCCCGCCTCCCGCTCCATGCACTACTCCGACTACCGGCCCTCCAACACCCCAGGGGGAGCTGCCTCTGTCAGCAGCAGTGCTGGAGGATCAGGGGCCACGGCCAGCGGAGGAGGCCCTCCAGGCCCAGGGCCCCTCTCCACCCCCGGTCGCCCCAGCTGCTACGACCCCCGGCCCCCCTCCAGACTCTCCCACAACAGCTACGCCCAGTTCAACACCTTCACCCGTGCTGGGCAGAGCCAGCAGCCCCCTCCCAACCCCCCGCCGCAGACCAGCGACTTCCCTGGAGACTGCAGCCTGTTGGACTCCCCTCAGCTGGCCTACGACAACTACGGCTATCCCTCTCACTCCTATACCCCCTACCGCATGGGCTTCGCCCCACCCAATCTGGCTCCGTTGGAAGCCGGGCCTTCCTATGAGATGTATGGGGTGGGGCCGGGGGTGGGGCCTGGGCCGGGGGTGGGGCCTGGTGTGGGGGTGGGGCCGGGGGCAACTCCGTCAGGGTCAGAGACTGGACTGGGGAAGTATGGAAGCTCCACCCGCTTCTCCTATACCTCGCAGCATTCTGACTACGGCCACAGAGGACACACACAGAGAATGCAGACACATGTGTGAGATGGATAGGTGACATACAGTGCATGGTCACATAGATGGTGAGGGTGCATTCTCATAAACACTGTCACTCAGACACACACAGAGGTCACACACACAAACACACATTCACATTCTCAAACATACACACTTATACTGTACACATGTGAGCATACACACGCATATATACACACATACGCACACACACACAGAGGAGTTCGAATTTGCCCACGAGACAGGGAGGGTATGAGAAAGAGAGAGTGCAGATCAGTGGAAAACAAGAGTGTCCCAGAGTTACAGGGAGGGGAATTCCTCGTAATCTAGAATTCCCACACTCCCAGTGTTCAAAACTTCGCTCTGAAAGAGCAGAAAGCGAAAGTCACAATCAAGACCAGAGAAGACAGGACTAGAGAGAACAAGAGATCTTTAGATATTAATTATTGAAATAAATAGCATAAGTGCTATGAATTTAGATTGTAAAGAATGACGAGAGGGAGCGTTACAGGCAATTTATTCCATATTCGATTGCCAAATATTACAGGAAGGCATATCATGGAGAAATTGACCGTCAAATATGGTACTCATTCGTTGGGCGGGAGAAACCTCAACCAGTGGAGGGTCATGACTGGCCGCCATTTTGTTTTAGCTGGTTGTTGTTTTATACAGTGATTTTAGAGCACATATATATCCCAGAATGCTCCACTTCATTGGCGCCATTGGTGCTGGTTAGTTGAGTTATCATACGTTTTGCACTGCATTACTGCAAACAGTATTCATTGCTTAGACATCCATCATCTACGTATATCTGTATTATATAAGTCTGTTTTTATTTGCACACCAACAAACTAGAGCTTTCTATTCTATTTTTTAACATTTTACAGAATTATTTTGGTCATATTTCTGTGAAGGAAGTGTCTGTGGACCAAGATGTTCAAACTTGAGAGTGTTTAGTGTTTGTTTGGGTGATATTCATCTCAACAAACAAAGAGAAACATGAAGAAGTATTTGTGTACCTGTTTCTGTCAGCCATGATGACTGGCAGGATTCAGGAAGGGGGGTGGGTATACAGGAACCATTTTACCAAGTGTCCATGTTTGCTCTTTATTTGATGTAAATCTGGGGTTACAGGCATTTATATGCAGTAGATACCATGGAGGAGGTCCTTCTATGGGCAGGTGTTGTGTTGCTAGGCCTACCAAGGTTCAGGCCTTGAGGCAGTCCGGGCATATGGAACTATAAGCCTGCTAGCCTGGCATTCAAACTGAATTTGCTATGTTTCACCATTTATATGAACTACATATTGTATATATGTGAAACATAGCAAATTCAGCTTGATTCAGGCTATAAACCTTAGCCTGGTGCCCCCTGCTGAAATAGAAAGAGGTGATGTGGTAGCCTGGTGGCAGATCTGTTTGCAGATCTGTTTGTGAACAAACTGACCTGGGACCAGGCTAGTGAGATGGTGTGTATAAGAGTGGCCTTAGGGAACATGTGGTAATGCTTTCATCATTCATTCATCCTCACACACAATCAGCCATGATGACAAGGCCAGAGGAGAATGAGTATGGAGAGGTTCAATGAAGGTTTGTCTACAGTATTGATATATGGATAGTGGAGTGTGATTGTGTGAATGTGTGTGGGTTAAAGAGAGAAAGAGCAAGAGGGAGAGAGAGAGAGAGTGTGTGTATGCACATCTATTTGTACAGTGTTTGTATAGATGTGTGAATGGCTGTGTGTGTGTGTGTGTGTGTGTGTGTGTGTATGCATATACATACAGTACTCTACCTGTGTGTGAGCGTGACTATTGTATGCATGTCAGTGTGTACAGTATGTTTGGTGCATGTCTGTATGTGTTCATGTGTGCGAGTGTGTTTCAGTAATATGTCCATATAATTTCTCTTCACAATCCTGTTACAATACTTTTATACCTCTGGTAGGACTGTATCCTGTATTATTGTGTCTTTGAATTTAGAAATACAATGTGTATCTTATTGTACTGTTCTACGTAGCAGAAAAAAAAACTGTTCAAAAGATGTACAACAAAAAGTGATCACATTTTCATTTTTTAATTTCATTATCTCCAATATTTTTTAAAAATGGTATGTAATTATTTTTCCACAGTATAACAGAAATAAAAAGCACTGTTTTTTATACAAATAAATCATGTTGTGTGATGCTTTTGGGGGAATGGGATAACTACCAATTCGGAGAATTCAGTGTTTTCCCCTACAATCAACATATATTATTACCTACAACCAAACGTAATGTAAAATAAATCAATACGTGGAAACATATTTAATTACAGCTAACGAATAAAGAGCGACTGCCCCTAAAAACCAACTAATCCCTTTGAAAACGGCCTATGTGGCATCGATATTAGCCAGAAACATTTATTCTAGTGTCAAAATTGACTACAAAGTCTAAATAGGATCATTTTGGACATAAAGTCAGTCTCGCCTAAAACGGAGTTTGGAACCTGAGTGTGTCGCGAGTAAATGAAGGTTGAGTTTGGATTACAATTATGTCAACAATTCATGACCCCTTTTGCCAAGCTCCACCTGCGAATCGCCCCTCCAGTACTTTGCTTCCCTTCATTGAATGGGGCTCCGTTGTTTCATCTCCCCCAATGCGTTCAAAGGATCACAGCCATTTGAGACCTAAAAGCCCTATATGGATTGACCATGCCTCCGGCTCTGGTTCGACAATGCATGCTTCCAGCAAGATGCACAGCCAACTATGGTTTGCGTGCCCTGCTGAAGGACACTACTGTGTGGAATAGGTGGTTGGAGTTTATTGGTCCCCAATGGTGGTGAGTATACCAGTAGCTAGACCATAGACTGCTGATTATGTATCTGGTTATGTACAGTGCATTCGGAAAGTATTCAGACCCCTTGACTTTTTCCACATTTAGTTATGTTACAGCCTTATTCTAAAATGTATTAAATAAAATAAAATCCTTATCAATCTATACACAATACCCCATAATGTCAAAGCGAAAACAGGTTTCTATAGATTTTTGCAAATTGATTAAAAATAAAAAACAGAAACACCTCATTTACATAAGTATTCAGACCATTTGCTATGAGACTCGAAATTGAGCTCAGGTGTATCCTGTTTCCATTGATCATCCGTGAGATGTTTCTACAACTTGATTGGAGTCCACCTGTGGTAAATTTAATTGAGTGGACATTATTTTTATTTTTTTATTTTTTTTTGTCATTTAGCAGACGCTCTTATCCAGAGCGACTTACGTGAGCAATTAGGGTTAAGTGCCTTGCTCAAGGGCACATCGACAGATTTTTCATCTAGTCGGCTCGGGGATTAGAACCAACGACCTTTCGGTTACTGGCACAACGCGCTTAACCACTAAGCTACCTGCCGCCCTGGAAAGGCACACACCTGTCTATATAAGGTCCCACAGTTGACAGTGCATGTCAGAGCAAAACAGTGCATGTCAGACAGTGCATGTCAGAGCAAAAATTAAGCCATGAGGTCAAAGGAATTGTCCGTAGAGCTTCGAGACAGGATTGTGTCGAGGCACAGATCTGGGGAAGAGTACCAAAAAAATTCTGCAGCATTGAAGGACACAGTGGCCCCCAAGAACACAGTGGCCTCCATCATTCTTAAAACATCTTAACATCTTTTTTTCAATTTTCGCATAAAATGACACAAATCTAACTGCCTGTAGCTCAGGACCAGAAGCAAGGATATGCATATTCCTGATACCATTTGAAAGGAAACGCTTTGACGTTTGTGGAAATGTGAAAATAATGTAGGAGAATATAACACATTATAATCTGGTAAAAGATCATTCAAACATAAATACATGCGTCATCTTTGAAATGCAAGAGAAAGGCCACAATATAATATTGCAGGTGAGGCGCAATTTAGATTTTGGCCACTAGATGGAAGCAGTGTGTGTACAAAGTTTCAGATTGATCCAGTGAAGCGTTGCAATACTGGACTATTTTGTATCAAGTCTACCCAAATGTGCCGAATTGGTCAACTGATACATTTTCAAGTACATAACTATAGAGAACATACAAATGATATGGTAATACAAAATGTAAGTTTACACACTCCCAGGAATGTCATACATGATTAATCATTAGCTTATACACTAACTTTCATACATCTAGATGGCCGGGCGGGGTGGGTGTGGAGCCAGAGACAGCAGGGGTTCAAACTGTAGAACCCAGTTCCTACATTTGAATATAAAAATGGATTTTATCAAACAAAACTATGCTACATTTTATCTCTGGGACCCTTAGGATGACAAATCAGAGCAAGATTACTGAATGCAAGTACATTATTTACCTTCAGAGGTGAATGTATCAAACCAGTTGCCGTGATAAGTTTTTTGTTGTTGTGCACTCTCCTCAAACAATAGCATGGTATTTTTTCACTGTATAGCTACTGTAAATTGGACAGTGCAGTTCGATTAACAAGAATGTAAGCTTTCTGCCCATATAAGACATGTCTATGTCCTGGAAAGTTTACTGTTACTTACAACAGTCATGCTAATCACATTAGCGCACTTTAGCTCAACTGTCCCGTATACAGGACACGGATCCCGTAGAGCTTAAATGGAAGAAGTTCGGAACCACCAAGACTCTTCCTAGAGCTGGCCGCCTGGCCAAACTGAGCAATTGAGGGAGAAGGGCCTTGGTCAGGGAGCTGACCAAGAACCCGATGGTCACTCTGACAGAGCTCCAGAGTTCCTCTGTGGAGATGGGAGAACCTTCCAGAAGGACAACCATCTCTGCAGCACTCCACCAATCAGGCCTTTATGATAGAGTAGCCAGACGGAAGCCACTCCTCAGTAAACGGTACATGACAGTCCGCTTGGAGTTTGCCAAAAGGCACCTAAAGAACCCTCAGACCATGAAAAGCAAGATTCTCTAGTCTGATGAAACCAAGATTGAACTCTT